TATAAATTCACAGTTCGCCACCTCCGACATAGAGAACACTTCATGTGAAAATAATGATGTTACACTAATGCCGACGGAATTTCAAAATCATACAACCGGACGATATTCTATACATATTATATATATGTATATATATATATATATATATATATATATATATATATATATAGAGTCGCAAAATTACTTGAACCTTTTGATAAGAAACCGGAAGAGCCTGGCAAAACAAGTGTTCCTGAAAAAACTTTTTTCATTAATTTTCCATATCTTGACAATAATTTTAACCAATTATCAAAAAGACTTTTCAAAAAACACAATATTCGTATTACTTTTTCTCCATTAAAACAATTAAAATTTTTATATTCCAAAATTAAAGATGAAACTCCATTAACAAAAAAGAAAGATATAGTTTATAAAGTAAATTGTTTGGATTGTAATTGCTCTTATATTGGCCAGACCTGCCAGAACTTAGAAAAGAGACTCAGGCAACATGAATTACAATGTGAAAAAATAGATAACAAAAAATTTAAAAGTACACTTGTGGATCATGCTAATATCAACAACCATAAGTTTGATTTTGACAATCCCCAAATTTTATTCCATGAGAAAGACTTATTTAAACGGAGCATGGCAGAATCAATGTTAATAGTTCGGACTGACAATAGCATAAATCTAAGAACCGACACAAATATTTTACATGACACTTATATAAACATCATTAATAATTTATAAAATTTTTTCATTTATCTTATTCTTTTCAATAAATTAATTTGTTTTTTCATTTTTATCGATTTTGTATGCGATAGCACTCCTTTTGTTTACATTATAATGATACCCTCTCTGTCTCCATCTATATAGGTACTTCAAATTTGTTTAGAATATTTCTGTAAGTGTTATACGAGTATGTTTCTTTAGTACTGTGTCAAGCATTGCAAGGAATAGTTGGTGTTTTTTGTATACCAAAAATTAAATGAAATTTAAATAAATTATTAAAGAATGTGTAGTATATAAGTAACTGTTTTTGAAATTACACTGAAGATGAGACACACCATGGTCTCGAAACGTCTGTAATCATAAAATAAAGTTGTGTTAAACAAATCTGAGTGCTGTTTTGTTCATATTAAACAATTAATATTCGTTCCACTCATATCATAAAATTCTATAATATATATATATATATATATATATATATATATATATATATATATATTTACTGCAGAATCTTCTAAAACACTTAGACTTTTCATCACCTTTCTTATTTGCATTATAAACAATACATCTTAGTGCTAATTAATTAATTATTTCAGGATGGACAATTTAATAAATATTTGAAAAAGCAAAAACAACTTATTCATTGAGGAATCAGAGCCCTGAAAACAAATGTTTGGTACGGAACTTTAAAAGCACAATAATAATATCATAAAATGAATTATTTCAAGGGAACTATTTCTTATGCAAGTTTACAATAATATAAAAAGTTGAGGTAAAAAGTTCAATATATTTCAATATGTTTTGAACCCTGTATCAGCGCACAAATAAATATAGATTAAATCAATACATGATATTTATGAATAAATAGATGTAAAAATGTATAAGGTACTATACAAGTCAATAAATGAATACTATATAATAAGAATTCATGAAAATAGTACCATTACCATTTACAATAATAATTAAATAAATATATAAATGGACGAAATGTGAGTATTTGTTTAAGTTTTATTTTTTATCATTGTATATTTATGTTTGTTTGTGTCTGTGTATGTGAGATGAAGTGAAATTAATCAAAGCTAAAAGCTCTAAAACTCAAAAGCTTCAAAGTTCACACTTGCATCATATCTGGAGCCCTAAATCTATTTCATGATGATGATATCAATCTGTTTGAGAATACTTTAGATATACATACACACATTCAAAGTGTCAATCCATTAAATTCAGAATTAACTTAATGCATTTTTTTATTAAGGTAAAAAGTGTTGACAGTTGACAAAGAATTATAAAAATAAGTAATTGACACTGAAAAAAATGTATAGACAAAAATCTAAAACAGCTTTATTGGATTTGATAATTTAAACAAATATACAACATGGTTCATAAAAAACAAATTAAATAGACATAGAAACAAATAATTTTTTTCAGCACAACAGAATCAAAGAAATTACTGAACAAATAACTGAAAATATTGATTGATGAAAGAGATAAAAAC